CAGCTTAAGACAGGGCACTTATGTGCCCTGATGCAGAAGGTTATGTCTAAGAGGGGAAAATGAGAGCTATATCTCTAAAGCATTGCTGTGCATGCAACAGAATTGCTCAGTGTTGAGTCTAGAGCTAGAAATCATTTTTGAATTATTCCAACAATGCTAATGCTAGCTGCAGCTCAGTGGCAAATCTTAACTATTGTTGCATTCATCGCCAGTTTCTGAATGAAGAGGACTTTCAAGTGTAATCCATTCCTACATTTTGAGACCCATACCTCTTTATGAACCATCTTGAGGTCACCTTGCAATAAAAAAATCCGCAGGAGCTGGTGGGTGCCTGTTAATTTTGTGCCTGGCTCTCAAAGTCATGCCAGTCAGGCCCATTGTGAATTCCTCTTTTTGTTCTGGCTACTTCCTACCCTAAGCAACCTAAATTATATTGCATACTTTTCTGTGTTTCTTTCTTTTCCATGCAGGCATTTATCTTGGTTGGGGTTACAACCCACTCATCCCATCTCTGTGTCAAATTTCATCTATCCAATGGAATCCAGGACAAAAGCTTCCTAAAACCACAGCCAGAAGCCATCATTTCTTTTTCTAAGACCTTTTTACATCATATAATTTCCTTTATTTTTATTTATTTATACACTTATATAATGTGTTTTGTTTGTTTGTTTGTTTGTTTTGAGATGGAGTCTTGCTCTGTCACCAGACTGGAGTGCAGTGGCACAATCTCGGCTCACTGCAACCTCTGCCTGCTGGGTTCAAGCAATTCTTCCACCTCAGTGTCTCAAGTAGCTGGGACCACAGGCGCGTGCCACCACACCTGGCTAATTTTTGTATTTTTAGTGAAGATGGTGTTTCACCATGTTGGCCAGAATGGTCTCGATCTCTTGACCTTGTGATCTGCCTGCCTCAGCCTCCCAAAGTGCTGGGATTACAAGCATGAGCCACCATGCCCAGCCTATATAATGTATTTTTAAAATTCATAAGCTTCTTAAAGGCAGGAGCTCCATAGAATATGGCTCAAGATCTTGAAATTAATAAGTATGAAATAAAAACTTGCTGAATAAATGAATCCATAATCACTCTTGTTCTCTTTTATAATTACATAAAGTTTTAAAAGATCAGTTGAGACAAGTATATCTATCTAACTATAACCATAATTATAGATATAAATATAGATACCAATCCTTTCAACATTAAGAATTAAAAATAAAGACCCAGAAAGTCTGGCATTATGGCATGACCTTCCAGATTCACATATTCAAGGAAGAAATAGTGCAACAGTTCACACTACAGCAGTTACCAAAATATGCCATAGTTGGAAGTAGGGTTGTGATACTACATTTTACACAGAACACTTTTTCTATAGAAATAAAAGAGGTCTATTTGTGTTCTTGTTTTAGGATTCTCTAACACACTCAAAAAAATAGTTCTTGCAATATTAGTCTTTTGATATATTCTGTGAACAAAAGATACTGTGTTCAAATACATTTGAGAAACGATGCAAATTATGCCTTGTTCTTAGAAATTTACAAGGTAGAGTGGTATATTAAAGATTTCCAAACATTAGATAGCTTTTAGAAAGATTGTTTAACCTTGTTTTACATTGTCTCTCAATTATGATTGTCCTTGGAATAGTCTGTTTCATAATAATATACATATTCCAAGGAAAGAGTCTCCTTGGAATTTTTAAAATTTCTTTATATTTATATAAAATACTTACATTTATATGTAAAGTATTACTTCTATGTTAATGTCATCTTGAGGGTGAAGTATTTATAATACTTTATTTTTTGTTTGTAAATGATCAAGGTGCTGTGACATGAGTCACAAGGCACAGGTAAGAGGTAGCTTTGTCCACTGTTTGTACCTGTGTATATGTGATAAGGTTTGGCTGTGTCCCCACCCAAATCTCATTTTCAATTGCCATCCTCATGTGTTGGGGAAGCAACTGGTGGGAGGTGATTGGATCATGGGTTTGATTTTCCTCATACTGTTCTCATGATAGTGAGTTCTCATGAGATTTGATGGTTTAAAAGTGTGTGACAGTTCCCCCTTGCTCACTCTCTCCTGTCACCAGGTGAGACATACCTTGCTTCCTCTTCACCTTCTGCCATGATTATAATTTTCCTGAGGCCTCCCCAGCCATGAAGAACTGTGAGTCAACTAAACCTGTTATCTTTATACATTACTCAGTCTCAAGTAATTCTCTACAGCAGTGTAAGAATGGACTATTACAATATGGAACACAGGTAATAGGAGCATGGGAGTATGAAAGTGTTCCCTTGCACTTTAGCTGTTAGCAGAAGTGGAAGCAGAGTCCAAATATGCATTTATTAGATTTCAAAATCCATTTCTGCTGCAGCATTTTTTTCCTTGATTGTATTTGATTCATACTCCAATTCTCTCTTGAAAAAATGCTCTGGTTCATATATACGCCACTTATTTTTTGTGATGATTTACAATTCTATTGTAAGTCTTCCAAACATATTTATTATAAATTACATAACTGCATTTCCATAATGTTGTATAACACATTTTGCTGCCTCACCTCATACCCTGTAGAACTACATTAAATCAACAACATGATTATGGCTTAAATTTGTTGGTGTTCCAGTTACAACACTTAGTTCCAAATGCCAAACAATAACCAAATGTGTGATAACATTTACAAGATAAATTTAAGTGCTTTAAATATATATGTGTCATGTTTTGAGTGGTGCCACGTAATTAGAATATAATTCAGTATGCAATAAAATTTTGCTGAAAAAAAAATGCATAAATCATTCTTGTTCTCTTTTACATATATATAGAGGTATAATTATTAGGAATAAACATAGCAATTTATCAATATATTTATATATCCATGTTTTCCTATATCTTGATATGTTTATAAACTGAATAATCTTTACTTACAAAATGTGATTGTGATAAGATTAGTAACTAAAATGAAAAATTAAGGGTTCTCCTGTAATAAATTTTGAAAGTGCTTTACTAGTAAAAACATCTTTCTGCATAGTCATCTCCAAAATTCGAATGCAACAAAACAGCAAGAATAATCTAAGATCTGGAATACCATAATGCTGGTGCTATGGTCTGGATGTGCTTTGTCCCCACAAAAACCCATGTTAAAATTTGGTCCCCAGTGTGGCAGGGCTGGGGGGTGGGGGCCAAATGAAAGGTGTCTGGGTCATGGGGGCAGATCCCTCATAAACAGGTTAATACCCTGCTGTGGAGTTGAGTTAGTTCTCACTCTTCTTAGTTTCTCTTTGTTTCCTTCCTCACCATGTAATCTCTGTGCACATACCTGCTCTCCTGCTTTGGGCTATGAGTTGAAGCAGCTTGAGGCTCTCACCAGATGTGGCTGCCCAGTCTTGGACTTTCCGGCCATCAGCATCATGAGCTAAGTAAATCTTATTTCTTTGTAAATTACCCAGCTTCAGGTATTCTGTCATAGCTACAAAAATGGACTAAAACAGATGTATACAAATATTTTGTGAAAGTAAGAAAGAAGGCTTGACCTGGAATAGTATCCAAATGAATTTATACAACAAATGTCAAATGTCTGAACATGAAATACTCCTACATCTTTGGATAAGAGTGGCCAAATGAAACTTCTTCAGGTATAAAGCCCTGTCTTTACCACTAGCTTAGTAAATATTTCAAATCCATGGAAAAGAAGGCTCAGTAACTCTAAGGATCTTGAAAGAAAATGTCAAAAGTTTGCAGAACTTTCTGGAAAAAGATAAATATTGAGGCTCACATTTGGATTCTTAAATTTAGGATCACTGCCAAAAATCAAAAAGCTAAATGGAGAGTATTTGCCAACCCGTCTTTCCATTAGGGAAAGGTATTAATTAAGCAAACACATTGCTCCTTTTCAAAGTAGCTAATGACTCAATAAGAAAAAAATGCAACATCCTCTTCTTATAACACTTCTCATGGTCAGGGTAGACCATGAAAATATTAGTAGACTGAAATTTGAAAAAAATAGAACAGACTTCATAAGGAAGTCTGTTTATTCAAAGCCAATGAGAGTATGTGTAAGTGTTCCCCTTCAAAGGAAGAAGAAAACAATAGTATAGGATGAAGTGATGGTAATCTGCTAGATAGAGTCGTTGACTGGTTGCTTAATTCTCCCCCTTGCTGAACAACATGAACATGGCAAATCTAACAAAGAAAGTGGTAATATGAAAAACAATGGAAATTATCCAGATATACTCTCTATACTCCTCCAATAGGTATTAATGGCTTTTAGGCAGAAAGTATAAAATACAAAATGATTAGTCATTGTACTGTGATACTGAAGTGAAAACATAGGGGGTTTATTTCCACATTAAATATCTTCCAGAAGGTCCAAATCTCAGAGTTCACAGTTCTGTTATTTCTCAGAGAGACATTAGGTAGCCATTGGCTTCATCTAAATGGAATTGCCAGTGTTCTAGATCTTTGCAATCAAATCATTTGTATATTTACTTTGTTTTAAATTAATGGGGCAAACATTAGCACTTTTCAGTTACTGACTCACTGTCAATACTAGAGGCACTTTTCATTGTACGATCCAATACAACAGGCAGGATTAGACCATGCCTCTTCTAAGTTTCCTCTAAACAAAGATATCTTGTTTTCAGATACATGATGAAACTCACATGAAGGTAGAACAGGGTTTGGTATGGGACTGCTGTTAATGATGGCATGCAGGTTTTCCTAGTTGGTAAAGTATAACTACATAGTTTTAATAATCCTATAATTAATAGGAAGGTATATATTTTAAAACTGCAAACTCTATGAATGAATGAAATAGATACCATCTTACTTACAGGACCCCTTAGTATTATGACAATAAACTATATAGTTGGTTAAGACTTTGCTACAACATGTCCCCATGTGATGCCAGTTGACTTATAAAGACCTGAAATACCTTTTCCATGCAGTAGTCATGAAATAGTGTTTGAAGGGAACACAGTGACACATAAGAAAACACACACTGGAAGACACAGTGAACCAAACTGGTGGTAAAAACATGACCTTCCTCCATAAGGTCGGATAGTTTTATTTTGATTAAACACTACAATACAGTATATATCCATTAAAAAAGAAAACTCTATAATGTATATAAATTATTCCTTCAATTCATCAATTCTTCTTTTCTTTTCCATTACAGCTTTGGTACAATGTGATTTAGTATATAATTTTTAAATACTTTTAGCATCACAAACTCAACACAAAGTACAAAACTAATCCAAATTAGGGATATTATAGTCTACACAGTGGTATTCAGTGGTAGGAGAAAATCTTACCTTGATGAATTCATGTCACTAGCTAAGCTACAAAGGCATACCTAGCGGACATGACAGAAATATGCACCATTAACCAGCTAACGTGTGTATTAGTCTTTGTTTATTTTTTTACAGAATACCAGCAGCAATCATTTGAGTGTTGAGTGAATACTTAAGTCCTCAGCCTGTTCTCCCACCTTGTTCCTCTTCCATCAAAGGCCATGAGAAATATCTGAAGAAATGTACCACAGCCAGAGCTCTCAGAATTTGACCTGCCAACCAGCATTGCTCATACTTGCACAGTTTGTCCTGCAGCTAGCCGACATCACTGGGACAGTGCTGGAGGGGCAGTGTGGGCCAATCAGCCTAAGGTTGTTCTGAGGGGTGGGCGGTGTGACGTTACAGTAAACAGGCATTCCAGTGGCTGGGAGTGACCCTTGACCTGCCTGGTTAGGTAGCATGATTGGCTGTTGGTATGACTGCTGGGGCAGTCCTTGAGAACCCTGGGTCATTGGCACCTGTAAAAAGACATAAGCAAGAACCCTGTATGAAGAGGCTATTCTGAGATGTACAATAAGCAACATGGTGTCATGATAAATATTCAACCTTTTGAGTTCCTAACGGATCATCAATTTCAGCGCTGCCATTTATCAGCTGTTTCACATTAGGAAAGTCACTTAACCTCTCTGATTCCCTAGTCCATGGTGATAATGACATACCTGCTTCAAAGTGCCATTGACAGGATTGAAGGGGTGGTGTACAGCGCCTGGCACACTGCCTGGAATGCAGTAGATGCTCAGAAGCTGATATTTCTGAGCTTCCTTCCATTCTCTCTTGATGACCTCCAGAAACTACAGTCTAGATTTTCCACTGTGGGTTTTTCTTGGTTTGAAAAGCCATGCTCCCTTTCTGGTTTTATGCAAAGTGGCCTGGAGCCTTCCATAGTAAAAAAAAAAAAAAAGGCTTTTGTCCTGGGCACCTATTATACTTTCAACCTGCAACTTTAGAAAACGCTTATTGCCGAGCTTGTAGGTAGAAGTTGATGCAATGTGAATAAGAATAGTAGGGCACAGGGCTGTAGGATATGCCCCTTAGGGTCAGAAGCACCTGGTACTAGTTAAATTTAATTATTATAGCATTTCACTAACTCTTCATTTCTATTCTGGGGTATTTTAGAATGTACATTACAAAAGAATACATAACACTTTTCAAATACTCAACTTGGGTTTGGTCCAAAGAATGGAGTTGTTAGGAACTATAAGTGCCTTGTTAGGAACTATAAATACCCTTTAAATGAATCTGAGATGCCATATTAAAATCTCTTAAAACTTAAAGTTATGGAAAAATGAACTTTATTTGGGTGTGTACAAAAATGAGTGGAAATTTGTCATGAGGACAGGACTTTCTACCAATAAACAAATGCAATAAAACTTCCAAAGGTCTGTATGAATGAAACTGTAGACTAATGTGTTTTATTCCATGAATATGAAGTTTATATGGAAATAAACTTAGCAGGGTATTCAAAAGCCATAGTAGTTATAGAAGCATGCATTTTCCATTTTTACTTTTCTGTTTAAATCTTGATTCAAAGTGAATGATCAACAGCTATGGGCCAAGCACCAACTGCCCAGCCAACCATGTAAACCAAGGACATACCCACAGCTTCCACCTTGGGAAGTGCTACTTAATAACCCCAAATTTTCCAAACTGCTTATGTGCACCTGATAAGAAGACATTGTTGGGTAGGAAACCATCACACTTTGCATCGGAGTTCCTTGTTGGTTACCGATCACGTTCTGACTCTGAGGTGGCTGCTGCACTCCTATTAGGCCTTGGAATCCCTGCTGACTGGACAGAACTGGCTGGAAACCTGTGAAGAAAAGAGATCTTTTGAACTGATTGTGCCAGAAAGAACACTGTCGATGTTTCATGGGGTAAAAGTGCTGGCTCAGGAGGCAGTCTTCAGACATCTCAATCTCTACATTCAGAATGAGTTATCAGATGTTTATTCCCTAAGAATGTATTTTTTCTTTTTTTACTTCTAAGAATGAACAAGATCACGGCTTCAAAAATTCACTGACATTTCCATTGTTATGCAGAACAGGTCTATTGAACACATGTGACAATGGTAAATTCTTCATGGCACAAAACAAGAAAATTCTATTGATCCCAGTTGACTACTATAAATTATACCTTTCATATTTGGCTTTTTCTTTGGTTTTGAGGATATTTGGGGAACTCACATATTATCTCTCAAGATATTTTAAAATTGAATTGACTTACTCCCTTACTATCCCCTCTTCCTGGACAATCTCTTTTCACACGTAGAGACCACCAAACAGCCTATTTGTTTTGGATGAATTTTATTTTCTTTGTGTCCTAGTGAAACAAATGACTCACTACCCTGAGGAATTCACAATAGCCACTGCCTTAGACAAAAAGGCAACAGCCAGTGGACGGCATGTGATATTTTTATTCTGTTTCACCACTAGCTTCAGAGAGAATTTTTTGGTAAAATACTCCAAAATGAAACCAAATACTAATACGTATAATAGATAATACAGAATACAATATTCAAAAATTTATCTGTTCATGTCCTTGTGGGTGAGTGAGCTTGTTTGCTTTCTTTCTTTTTTTTTTTTTTCAAGTAGGCCAGAATTTATTTATCCTAGTTATTTAAATCCTCACTTCAATGAGTGGTTTAAAATGCATCCTTATAAAGGAAGCCTGTGGATTGTTCTCGTAAATGTTGGGAAGAAAGTTATGATTTAGGTGAAAATGACACAGTGGTAGAGAAATGAAACAGATTCACTTTATACTGTATAATAAGCTCCTTCCAGAGCTCATACTATTAACCATGTAGAGTACCTGAGAATAAGTGGAACTGCTATCTTAATACAATTCTCTGAGAGAAAAGAATCTTTAAAGTCCTAGATTTTCTTAACACAAATATGAACTAGGTTTCACAATCATATTTTTAACATTGAAACCAAAAGTTAAAAAATAGCTAATCAATATGCATGATTAATAAATAATCTATTATTGAGTGCCTGTTAAGAGTCTTTATACTGAAGAAGGATCACATTATATTACAGTCTTTATAGAAGACAATACGTAACTATCCTTGGATATACAAAAATATATCTTCATTCATTTCAGAAATATTATGAAAACGTGGCTTTCAAATAGTCACTGAATTAGGAGATTGGCTCAGTTCATCAAATGAGCTAGAAGCAAGGTGTCCTCAGTTTGGAGAACCAGAGAGCAAGCTTGGAAAAAGGCGAGTTTGGGAGGTCTGGCCTATACCTGCAATTGGCAAGTGGAACCAGTGTGGAATCTAAAAAGCTACTCTTTGACTTTCCTTATGTATCTCATTGTTTTACATTCTAATTACCCTAAATCATAGTGGTTTCAATTTGTTGAATTATTTTAAATTCTTTAAAGACACCACATATTATGAATATAATTAAGAGTAATGGCCACATTTCCTTGAGCTACATTCTGTCCGCAGTTGACAGTCAGAACCTTCCTTTAATATGCTTGGCAGGTCTATTTAAGACTAACAAGGGCCAGGCGCGGTGGCTCACGCCTGTAATCCCAGCACTTTGGGAGGCTGAGGTGGGCGGATCATGAGGTCAAGAGATCGAGACCATCCTGGCCAACATGGTGAAACCCTGTCTCTACTAAAAATAATAATAAAAAAAAATTAGCTGGGTGTTGTGGCGTGTGCCTGTAGTTCCAGCTCTTCGGGAGGCTGAGGAAGGAGAATTGCTTGAACCTGGGAGATGGAGGTTGCAGTGAGCTGAGATCATGCTACTGCACTCCAGCCTGGCTCCTGGTGATAGAGCAAGACTCTGTCTCAAAAAACCAAAAACAGACTAGCAAGATAAGCTCAGAATTCTGATACCTACAGTGTTTGAAGTTTATACGATGAGGAAAAACATCAGACCTGGGAACAAGAAATGCGATTCAGCCCATATTACCATTTTCACTACTTCTACTTCTCTGGTCTCATTTGCAGACACGACTTGAGAGAAAATTCTTTTCACATTAATTGCAGAAAATAGATTTTGATTGTTTTTCATTGGCTAGGTCTTCAATTGTGATTCATATATCCAATTGCCCTGAAAACTTCCGTGGCTATTTTATCATTTTATTATGACATTATTCCAAACCATATCAAGCTCTTTGTACCATAAATTATTATATATATAATAAAATAACTTGGGATGATCATACAAAACCTATGACCAAAAAACTTCCCTCTGATTTAGTTCTATAACAAAGAGTAGGCAACGTAAACTCACTCTCAAGCCCATGTAATTGTGAATATAATAGGGCCTTACTTCTGGCTGAAAATTGAAAGCACAAGTTGAAAATGAGAGGAGTGCCATTTGATACTTTGGATTATATTTGTTCATACACTGAAAGGCTATTTGGCCTCAATGGAGCTTTGCAGAGTATATACAGCTACAATGTAAACAAACTAATAACGAAAAGAAGAGGAAAGGAGGGAAGGAGAAGAGGGAAGTGAGGGAAAGAGGGGCAGGTCACTTAGTGTCTGCAGATTATTTGTGTATTTCCGTATTGAATCCTTCCATCCTTTCACAGAGGCATCTGTTTAAAAATAAATTAGGTGGCCTATAAGAGATTCATTTAATACACCAGCTTCTAAACTAAAATTGTGTGAAGGGAAAATAATAACGCTGTTAAGATATTCAGAAAGCAGAATGTCTTGGTTGGAAGAGGAAGCAATCCTTCATAACAAATAATATTTAAGGAGCGAAAAAGAGTGGGCAGGTTTGGTTGCCTCATCCCAGGAAGTATGCAGAGCCTGTGAAAGCAGGATTCATCTTTGCTGCCAGCCCAAATGCAGCTGCCCTGCCACAGCCTCTCCTCCAGGCCTCCTCTGCCTGATGATTTGTGAACTTTAATATTCAGTTATGCATAGCAATGGACTATCAGCTCTACGCTGGGGTTCCCATGGTAAACACACTTAAGGCAAATAAAGATTTATGTGGGGAGTGAATACCATTTCAAAATGAAAACTTTAATGTAAGGAGAGCCCAATTTATATTCATGAATCCTGTCCATTTCTCAATTCTCTCTACAGGCAAGAGATTTACACCTGCAATGGTTTAATTGGGGGTACTCATTTCTTTAAATTATGTCACAGAAGGTAGATAGCAGAATACTCTTTAAGACGGGCAAGCTGTCTGGATGTGAATCTGAGTTCTGGTTCAGAAACAGACAAATAGAAATAAAAGAGCAGTGACCTATGAATGAACCGACAGTGTCTGCCTGGGACACAACACACCCGAAGGCAGAGATGGCAGCACCGGTGGGAACTGCTGATCTTGTCTATTCAAATGAGAAATGTGTTCCAGTTTGTCAATTCTTAGCTGTGAAATGATCACTTTTTCATATTTATTGAGGATTAGCAAGATATAATGCATCTTACAAAACGGAAGCAGCAACAGTATCTGCCCCGTAGGCTTGCTACAGAGTTGATAAAGACATTAGCTATTTTTATTATTTCTTTTTCAGTCAAGATCGATTCAGTTTTCAAGTCACATGTGTCATTTATTTTCTGGAGGTAAAAAGGTTAGGAAATGGACAAATGCCTCCCAGCAAATAAGGGAACGCACTTGGCAAAGACCGAGGAGTTTATAAGGTTTAAAATGTCTGCATTGTAGAGCTCTGAAAATGGAATATGTTTTCGACTAAAATACAACAGTTGTATACTATTTGTAGTTTGAGGGTATTCTGTTAATATTTCATCAAGAAAACATTTATCTTCATGTGGCACAATTATGAACAATTAGAATGTAAATTGATTAGGGATTGTGGAATGGCATGGCTGTGAGTAGTACTATTTTAACTCTTATTTGAGTAGTTGGTTACATTTTCAATGTTTTGGAAATAGATGAAAAGACAGAAAAAATAGTAATCTCTATTTCTGCATTTCTATTATGCCTGCTGTTAGTTATGGAGGTTGAAACAGGGAAGCGAGCAGTGAAGAGAACAAATTTCTACACCGAGCACGTTTCTTCAGAAGCTGGCCAATTCTCACAGCCTCTCCCAATCCACCCAAGCAGTGTGATATACATGTGTTTATTAAGGGAAGTAATCTTAATATGGTAGAATGTCTTTTCAAATGATTAGAATTAGCAAGCTGTTTAATATAAAATACATAAAAATTCTCTTGGAGACAAGATATGAATACTTCTCCAAATTTCACAGGAACCACCAAAAGCCTAGATTCTGAATCAAACTCTGCTTTTGTACGTGGTGTGAGGTAGAACTAGAGTAGCTTAGCTTACTGGTATAGCTGGTGAATAATATGTAGAAGAAAACTGCTTATCCAGAAAAGCCCTGACCTTTAGCTGAAGTTTTACAGTTTGTGTATTTTGCCACTTTTCAGAATCTGCCTGGTTCTTTGTCCTGGCTTCCTAACAATTTTCTGTACTTTATCTTCTTTGAGGATTTTCCATTATGAACTAGCTATATTTGTTGATCACTTACTCTAAGCCAAGCAGTGAATTAAGCTTTTGTTACAGCAATCCTAGGAGGCAGTCAATATTACTAAACTCCGTTTGCAGAAGAGAAAACTGACTTAGGAGGATATAGTAACTTGTCAACGTCACACAGTTACTATGAGGAATTGTCGCTAAAATTTAAGTTGTGGTTTTCTCACTTTGGCATCCTTGCTTTTGTGTGCTAAATTGCAGTACCATTTATTTAGACATTCTCCTAGCTCTCATATTCCTCACATAATCACTTTAAGTGGCAAGTATTCAATGACTGCTTATTACATTAATTGTTTTCTCAATAGTTCAAACAAGTAAAAAAAGTAAGAATTATGCTCCA